CGCACCATCGCCAGGCAGCGCGCCCGCATCGCCACGCTCAAGGACGGCGACGCTAGCACGGGATTCTTCCACCGGCAATGCTCCTTTCGCCGTCAGAAGAATCGAATCTTCAGCCTGGCCGTGGATGGGCACACGCTCACCGACCAGGACGCGATGGCGCTTTCGAGCACTTTGGCGAGATCCTGGGCACGGCCGCCGACCACGACCTTACGCTCAACCTGGAGGGGCTCATTGAGCCTTGTGATCTGGCGAGCCTGGACGCTCCCTTCAGCGTGGAGGAGGTTTGGGACGCGATCAAGCGCCTCCCCGCTCGCAAGGCACCTGGGCCTGACGGCTTCACTGCGGAGTTCCTGCGAGCTTGCTGGACCATCGTTCGACAGGACCTTATGGATGTCTTCCAGCAACTGTTCGAGATGCGGGGCCGTGGCTTTGGCAAGCTCAACCAAGCCCTCATGACCCTTCTGCCCAAGCGCGCCGACGCCCAGCAGCTCCGCGACTACCGCCCGATCTGCTTGATCCATATCGTGGCCAAGATATTCACCAAGGTCCTGTCTCTGCGGCTTGCCCCCAGATTGGATAGCCTGGTCAGTCGCAACCAGAACGCGTTCATCACCGGCCGGAGCCTCCATGATAACTTCATCCTCGTGAGGCAATCTCTCAAATTGCTGCACCAACTCGGAGCTCCGCGGATCATGCTCAAGCTCGACCTCACGCGCGCCTTTGACTCCATATCTTGGCCATTCCTCTTTGAGGTTTTGCGCCAATATGGGTTCGGGGACAGATTTCGGGAATGGCTTGCGATCCTGCTTTCGACGTCCAGCACCCGTGTCATGATGAACGGCGGGCCAGGCCCCCCGATCTGGCACCGTTGTGGCCTGCGCCAAGGCGACTCCATGTCCCCCCAGCTGTTCGTTCTCGCTGTGGACACGCTTGGGCGGTTGATGCGCCGAGCGCTCGATGCCGGTATTCTGCAGCAGTTGCACCCCCGACGCCCAATCCCGGCGATCTCCCTCTATGCTGACGATGTGATGCTATTCTGTCATGCCACGCCGGAGGACACTGCTGCCATCAAGGGTATCTTGACCCTGTTCGGCAAAGCGAGCGGGCTGCTGGTTAACTATGCGAAGAGCTCTGCCACCGTCCTGCACGGTGACATGCAGGGACAAGAGGTGATCGCCCAATTGGGTTGCCCGGTGGTGCAGCTCCCCATCACTTATCTGGGCATCCCGTTGTCGACGCGACGGCCTTCCGCCGCCCAGTTGCAGCCCCTCGTTGATACGGTGGCTGCCCGGCTTCCTACCTGGAAGGCGTGGCTCATGAACAAAGCCGGGCGTCTTGCCCTTGTCAAATCGGTCCTCAACGCAATACCAGTGCACCAGCTGCTCGCGTTCGCTCCCCCGAAGAAGACGCTCAAACAATTGGCGAAGATCCAGCGAGGCTTCTTGTGGGCTGGGCGGGCCGTGGCCAACGGTGGCCATTGCCATGTCAACTGGAGCCGTGTGTGCCGTCCTATCGCGTATGGTGGGCTGGGAGTCTGACACCTGGAGCGCGCTGGCCTCGCGCTACGATTGCGATGGCTCTGGTTCGCCCGCGTCGATCCAGACCGTGCCTGGCAAGGTCTCGATCTGCAGTTCTCTCACGAGGAGCGCACACTCTTCTTTGCCTCCACTACCATGATCATTGGAAGTGGCTCGACGGCGCTTTTTTGGGAAGATCGCTGGATTGGCGGGCAGTCTGTAGGTGAGATAGCTCCCCTACTCCACCAATGCATTCCCAAACATCGACGCAAGGCCAGGACGGTGGCTGAAGGGCTGGCGGGTAACTCTTGGGCACATGATATTCAAGGGGTCTTGGGTCCGCACGAGATCGGACAATACTTACTGCTATGGCAGGCTGTGGGCCACACCATCCTGACGAACGAGCCGGATCGCCTGCTCTGGAGGTGGACCACCAATGGCACCTACTCGGCGCGCTCATGTTATGCGGCCAGTTTCCAGGGATCCACGCGGTGCCATTCTTGGAAGTTGGTATGGAAGAGTTGGGCGCCTCCACGGGTAAAATTTTTCCATTGGCTCGCCGACCAGGATCGCTGCTGGACTGCTGAGAGGCTCGCGCGACGTGGCTTGCAGCATCACCCTCGATGCCTCCTTTGCGACCAGGCCGTGGAAACTATCCAGCACCTGCTGCTGACCTGCCCCTTTGCACGTCAGACCTGGCACATTGTCCTTGATTGGTTGATTATTCCGGTCCAAATCCCCGATCAGGAGCACACGGTCACGGAGTGGTGGCTGGGCGCGAAAGAGCTCGCGCCGCCGGCGCATCGGAAGGCCCTCAAATCCATCGCGCTTCTTGTGCCCTGGATGCTCTGGAAGCACAGGAACGCCTGTGTCTTCGACAACGCCACGCCATCCATCGAATCACTAGTGGTTAGGATCAAGGACGAGGCCCGGTGTTGGGCTGAAGCAGGAGCCCAGGGACTTCGGGTTGTTCTGCCCACAACCTGGGATGTCCACTGATTTTGTGCTTTTCTTTGTACTGCTCACCTCCTAGGAGGATTGGTCTAACTTTTCCATGAAATGAAATGCAAAGGTCCTTTGCGTTTTCTCGAAAAAAATTAAATATTTTAAAGCTTGTCGCCGAATTTTTCTATCTCCTGTTTTCCCAGGATCCTTTATATGATTAACCAGAGGAGTTCTCCAATCATCTGGTTCTAAATTAGCTGCTGATTTGGTTACTTGTGACGCCTGCACCGAATCTTCTTTGCCATGTACTATTTGCTGCTGGATCGAACAAGGACCTGCTGCATCCTTTAGCAAATTAATAGCCAACAAATCAGCCTTACTATTGACAGCATATATCATCGGTTTCTCTAATATGAAAAACTTCCCCCTACTGATTTGGTATCCAGATGCATGCTGCGCTAAGCAATTAGCTCTAGAATTCTCTTCCCTTGGTATATGACTGATAGTGAAAGTATTTAGGGACTTAATTATATCTAAACATCGGTCCAAATAGCTGTTCAAAAGTCCATCAAAACATTGAAATTCACCATTAATTTGCTGGACTACCAGAAGTGAATACCCAAAAGCCTCTATATCCTTTACACCCATATCTACTAAATTTTGTAAACCAAACAACAAAGCTTCATATTCAGCTTGGTTATTAGTACAAGGATATTCCAAACGGACCGATGTTTCATAAATGACATTGTTTGGTGAAATTAAAACATTACCAATGCCTTGTCCCTCCCTACAAACCGATCCATCAAAATAAAACTTCCACAGGCACACACTAACATAATTAATATCTTCTTCATCCTTAATCCTATGATCAACAATAAAATCAACGATGGCTTGACCTTTCATAGCATGCAACGATGCATATGCCAAGTCATATTCTATTAGTGCATAAGCCCATTTTCCAATCCTACCACTAAGAATCGGCTGCTGCAGCATATATTTAATCACATCGGCTTGGCAAGCTACTACGCATGTACTCCGTCCGAAAATACTTGTCATCAAAATGGATAAAAAGAGATGTATCTAGAACTAAAATACGTCTAGATACATCCCTTTTTATCCATTTTGATGACAAGTATTTCCGGACGGAGGGAGTACTATAAAGTAGATATGGCCAAAATTTTGTACATGCATAATACTCCCTCCGTCCCAAAATTCTTGTCTTAGATTTGTCTAAATACGGATGTATCAAGTCATGTTTTAGTATTAGATACATCCGTATCCAGACTAATCTAAGACAAGAATTTTGCGACGGAGGGAGTATAAAGATAAGCATAATTTTTCAATAAACACGTACCGACTCTCACCGCCAAGTAAGCGGCGGCTCAGCATGATGACTTGGTGTAGCTACCTTCTGGATGACGCCATTTCTTGTCCTTTGGAAGCCCGCCAACTTCTGCTTCAGCTTTTCCACCCTCTCTTCCTCAAGTTCCTGTTCAAGTTTCTGCCGTTCATCCTCAAGCAGATCCTCAAGTGTGACGGCGATGATGTTGTTGGGGTTGAGATCACTCCCGTCCTTGGGGTCGGTGCTCATTGTGTTCCTTTTCTTCTTCCCTAGAGGAGTTGCCAATTGTGTTGCTGCGCGAAATTGATCCACACATCACCACAGAATCCTCACTTTCATGGAGGTAAACCAACCGTTTTTCAATGCAAAACGGCAAAGATGAGCCAAACCCTAGGGTTGCTGGAAAGAAAAGATCAATTGAGAAAAGGACGTAGGAGAAAAAGTAACGTAAGGTTGTAAAAGGATCGATTGATTCTTCAATCGGCCATATACCCACATATATAAGGGTATGCCTGGCCTTTGGCAAATTGGAGTAGGACTCCTGACGTGCTGTTTCCTTGGCACATAAGCTAAAAGGCCTTTCCTAATCTTTAATTAATCCGTCTATATCTGTAAAAGCATCAGCCTGGGCCCAATACTAGTAGACTTTCCATATTAGCTCTGTTTTGGCAGAATAACTGATTATGCAAAATCTTTTCCATCTTCAGTTTTCCATACCAGACCTCTTTCCTTCTTTCTCTCCATGCGTGAGCTCTAACACACAATTCTGTTCCATCCAGCCTGCTGCACCTAGTCTCTGTACTTGCAATCATGTGTGCATTCTCAAACAATTAGCTTGACCACCAAAACTAAATAATCTGGGCGACTCCTCAAGCCAGATCCAAATTAGACTATCAACAGTAGGCATTGTCTCTGCGGTGCACGATCTGCCAAAGCAGTAGGCATTGGCCGATCTCGTGAAGACCGAGGACCCCCTGGATATCATGCGCCCAGGTGTGTTGCCGGCGAGCTCTCCCGCCACCGTTCTCGCTTTACGTCTCCGTTTGGTGATGCACTGGTAGAGCAGGGGTGCGAGCTCGCGGACCGACTGCCCATTAATCCAGCAATCCTCCCAAAACAGGGCCGTCGAGCCATTCCCAATGACTCACATCAGTTTATGATGTTTGCTGATAATGTCAGATTTTTCTTAATTACAGGAATGGTTGATTTAGTAACTAATGAGGCTTGTCTCTTTGGGACATTAGACGTTTGCGGTTTTACATGTTCTAGTCCTTCTATTTTGGACATTCTTGTTGTCATGGAGCTGGTAGGGCACTGCCTCATTCGACTATGATAACTTTCTGTAACTATGGACAAAACCCAGTAAAGGTTTTGACTAATGTTGCATCACTGCATAAATATTTGAACAATATTAAAACGTTGGCTAAAGGGGGAAGAATCCCTTGCTAACTGTCCGTTAGTTAGATAGGATATGAGACCTCTCTGCAGAAATACCTCTGGATAACACCCCAGCGGAACCCGCTTTGCGCGGACTCAAACACGGGTGGGTGAGACCACCACCGTGGGCTCTAGTCACTGAGCTAGCGCTTAGTTCTCAATATTCGAATAATATTACATCCTTACCTGGCTCAAATGTTAAAATGACATCTAGTTTTATTTATCTTAGCGCCGGCAGTCATTTTTCTTGTCATTTGTATCTTTTACTTTTCTGAGATATTCATTGTGAGACGTGTGTATCTCATCCCTTATTCCATTAGAGCCTTGGCGCAGTTGTAAAGCTGCTGCCTTGTGACCATGAGGTCACGGGTTCAAGTCCTGGAAACAGCCTCTTACAGAAATGTAGGGAAAGGCTGCGTACAATAGACATAAAGTGGTCGGACCCTTCCCCTGACCCTGCGCAAGCGGGAGCTACATGCACCGGGCTACCCTTTTTTTTAATCTATTTAGTTACAAAAGATATGGTTCAGTTAGGAAGACAGAGACATGGTTTGTTAGGAAAGTTGAGATTCTATTCTTAGGCTTCAAGTCGAATCTTCCCTATAGAAGGGACACCATGTACCCCATAAGGATTATGGAACAAACGAGAATAAACTAGTAAAGATCTAATCCCCGTCTCCAACCTTCCCTCCCTGTCATCCCTGGCACCATGGCCGGCCAAGCCTTCCTCCCTGGAGCTGTACTCCCAACCCTTTCACGTTCATCGGCCTAGGACCGTGACAACTTGGTATCAGACTCCGATCCCCGGCCAATCCCCACCACCATTCCCCATTCACTTGCACAAACTTGATTACTCTATCAGTTGACTTCATTGTTTATGATGCTTGATATGGTTCTGTTTCAGGCTATTTCATTTTATTCTAAAGCTCACAATTTGAGATCAGGAGATCCGATTATCCTTAGCAATCGAAGTTCTGCTTTCTGTTTGTAAGTTCCTTAACAATGTTATATTAATGCCATTCTTATGCAATATAGGTAAGCAGTTATGCTACTGCTCAGAAATCCATATTGAAATATTTGGTCTGTATTCATGGCCCTTTCGTGGCTGCTTTTATGGCAGGATAAGTCAAGTTCTGAGGGAGAGATCAGCAGCCGACTCAGAGTACCAGCCATTGAATGGCCTTGATCCTACAACACATGCAGAGGTATGAGTAGCTAAAAAGGTCTTTCTCACCAATGTGAAATTCAGATGTGAAAATTAAGTGAATGTATGGATCATTAATTCTTATTATTTTGTAAGTAAATTTTGCTGCAGTTAGCTCTGAAGGATGCAGAGAAGGTAGTAATTACCCACGGTAATTCTCCTAGGCCATATCTTCTCAAGGCATACACACTTATTCTGGTAACACCCTGAAACTTTACTTTTCTTCCTTTTATATATCTTAGAGCATTATTTAATGGGGACAACACCCAATGCTTACGCCTGGATAGTATAGTTCAATTTAGCCGTAACTTTTCACCATCTAGGATAATTTATTGGGATTTGCAGGAGAACTTTGGTTGACTTGGTTGACGTTTTGGTTATTTAGCCTCACACTGTATCTTACTCATTTAAACTGTTCCATGGATTATACCTCTAGTTTTGCGCTCTTGCAGACTCCCACCACCACCAGTACTTCAAAATTATTTATTTCTGCACCTTATTTTCATTTTCTTTCACATGAGTTGAGTTTAAGATCTGTCCACCTGATCCAAAAATATAAGGTGGTAATTACACACCAAAATTTGGAAGAACATTGTACATGCCGCAGTCTGCCAAATTACAAAGTACTGGTGGGAATTTGCGAAAGCAGAGAAGACAGAGCACACTATTCTCGCACCAATGGTGCGATTATCTCCTACATATCTGTTTCCATGATATTTTGTTCTACAGATTTGCATTATAATTATATGCTTTGTTATACAGTTATTTTTCATATTGTCAAGACTTACAATATATAAGTTCTAATTTTGTCCAAGCAGAAAGAAGTTCAGTATTCTTACCAGAAATATGCTTATGTAATGTCATGTTGCTTTATCACTTTATTATGGACAGGCTACCTTTAAGAGGACAATAGCTGATCTGAGAGTCGTTAAGACATAAATTCAACAACTTTTATCAGTCCTCCCTTATTATCATCTGTTGGGGTAACCATTGGATCGTGTTTCCTTGCATATGCAGCTGGAGCGATATCAGGAGGCACGTGAGTCCCTTCTGGCTGGTCTTCAAGTTGATCCCCTCAGGTACGATTGTTGATCCATGGTGATATTCATATTCACTGAATAGGTAGCAGATATTCGAAGGTGATACTGATCCTCTTGCACATTTTGTAATACTCGTTTGCTACATGTATAGCCATATCCTGCAAACCTGCCTCAGTGATCTGGATAGAAATACAAATGCTGCAGCCGGAGCAAGATGCCCAAGGCTAGATAGGACTGATGATTTTGAGTGCACATTGTGTTTTAAACTATTGTTTAAACCAGTTACCACTCCATGTGGGCACACGTTCTGTCGCTCTTGTTTACATCAGGCAATGGATCACGGTGAGCTCAGCAAATATTAATATACTTGATTAGCTGCTTTTGTTAGTTTGAGCTTCACATCATGTCTACTTTCAATAGGCAATAAGTGCCCCATGTGTCGGACAGTTCTTTTTATTGGTCCAAAAACTTATCCTATAAGGTACTTTTTGTTGTCTTACAAAATCAGATTTATTCATTTGAACTGAAGTTCCGTTTCCCTTTAGACATTCATTTTTTCCTTGATTTCTCTGATGTTAGTCATGTTTCAATGCCTCAGCGTAACATTGAGCAACATAATTCAGAAAAATTTCCCTGAAGAATATGCTGAGAGGAGGTCAGAACATGAAAATATGACATATGCAGGCATTGATTTGATGCCTCTGTTTGTTATGGATGTCGTATTACCATGCCAAAAGATGGCACTGAACATATTTGAACCTCGCTACAGGCTGATGGTACAACTATCCCAATTTAGTTTTTTTTTGTTTGTAAGATGCATTTGTTTACAGCTATGCACCTTCTGTTTTAATCAACATATCTTACTGCATGGTTGCAAGTTGATATGTAGCTTGCAGGTGTAGCTAAGTAAGATTCATCATATTTTCCCAGAAAGCTTGCTGTACAAAATTGTAGGTTGAATAATCAGAACATTATATTTTCCCTAAATCCTTATTGCAAACTCTTAATGTAAATAAAACAGAAATAAAAAAGATCTTTCTATTTGTCACCTTCTGTATCAAATCTGTACAAAATTCCAGATGGGCATTTCTTCTTTGTTTACATAGTTGACCATATTGCTATCCATCCATTTGCATTGAGATGTTTTCTCGAATACGCAGGAGAGCTGCCGTATCATTGCACTAAAAAGTCAAAAGTCAAAAGTCAAAATACAAGCCCCAACCCCACCCACACAGCACTTAATGAGTACATTACAAGCACGCCACTGACTATTAACGACCTCGACCAAAAAAGCAGAAACTATAAGGCGGCTACATCATACCACCCTATTAAACACACAATCATTCCTGTGATTCCACAACCTCCATTGAGTTGTAACTTAGTTTATTTGCTATGTTTTAAAACACTGCCAGGATGTGTTTTATCAATATATTCACAACCTTGTTTTTCCCCATTTGGAACAGGTAAGGAGAATAATGGAAGGGAATCATCGGATGGGAATGGTCAGTTTCAAATCTGAGATATTCTGCTTGCCTAAAGAGTTCATTCATTGACTGATTCTATAATCCAGGTTGCTATTGATTCTGCGACGGGAACTGTAGCTGACTGTGGTTGTGAGGTGGAAATTCTTGAGTGAGTCCAGTTTTCTTCATTTTTTGTCAAAATTCTGCCAACACTTGTGGTCTCACCTGTCTTAATAAATGTGTAGGTGCGAGCCACTTCCAGATGGACGTTTTTATCTAGAGGTAAATTCATGCTCTGTTTGCAGGATTACCAACCATTTGTGTGCACGCCTTTCTTTTCAAGGTTTATATTACACACATTGACTACCTAGAAAGGACCACCAAATACAAATAGTGGCACAACCGAAGGATTTTAGAACTTGCCCATGCAGCAACAACTCAGCTGGTGGAGTTGCATGTAAAAACTTAGCTGTCAGCGACCCAAAATACTACCAAGGCTAGATCTTCCAGAAGCACTGCCATGGCAGCCACATCAGCAGCAGCGTCGACAAGAAGCGCTACCATAGCAGCGAAAACTGCTGCCATGGCAGCCAAACCGGCGGCAACTAAGGTGCTGCCATGGTAGCCAAGGCAGCAAGCCCACCAAGCCACTTGTACATGGGCCGGACCTGAAGATGTGCACCCCGCTGAACAGGGCCAACTACAAATACCAGTACGACGAGTAGCAGGAGATTATCCGCGCTTGGATATGGCGATTCGGCACGGCGGCTCTATCTTCTACCTCCGGCTCCCTCACCTGTACGCCTTTCTTCTTCCTCAAGACCTGTATCTGAACTGAATTCCTCTGTAGTTGTGTGAGATTAGTGAATTGTGAGTTGGGATCCTAACATTATGGTATCAGAGCCTCCCTCCACCCTTCCGATTCATCTCCAATTCGTCCCCAAATTCACACAAATTTCTGCCCAAATTTCTTTTCTAGCACACAATTCTATTCACCACCATGCATCCGAAAGTAAAAGCTTACCTGGACAAGCTTCGTGCGGAGACCAAAGCACGCTACGACGCCTGACAAGCAGTTTGAGCTGCAGGCGACCTTGCTCACCGCAGGAGCTCCGCCTCCGCCACTGACGCGCTCAGTCGTCGTGGCCTTCGATGGCGGTCTCTCCATCGGGACCACCATCCCTATGGTTGTTCCTGACGCCTTCTTCGCCACCACCCATGCCCGAGAGGTCCCTGCGGTCGCCCACGACGCATCCCCAATCTGCATCGCGATAGCGCCCTTCACCTGTACTACAGTGCTCGACCAAGGTCGACGTTGTCGCCAGCGTCGACGAGGTCCACGACACCACCACCACCGCCCCCTCCGAGCTCGGGGACGATCTCATCCTTCGGGAGGTCGAGCAACCCACAACTGCGCAGGCGACACCCTCCATCGGCACTGCATCCTCTACCGCCAAGGTCGTCCCTCCGGTGGCGACCACAACCGATGTTGACCCCAGGGCCAGCATGCAGGAACTGGATGACTCACCATTGCCCTACTTCAACACCTTTCCTCCAGCAGCGAGCGAGTTGGACTACAACATCGTCCTCTTTGTCTCCAGCAACCTTACTGCACCGCCGCCAACCAAGTGCTCGGCATAATCCCCCGCCCATGAGAGCGATTGGGTGATGCCTCTTCTCACTACCAACGATGCCTTTCCCCGGTTGGTTTCCCCAGTGACCAGCGAGGCGTACCACTATGGCGTCGTCGACACCATCAACATTGCTGCCCCGAGAAGAACCACCTATTCGACAGGAGGCCTTGACCACGACGAGCACATGTGTCCATCCTACATTGAGCAACAACAAGAGATCTCCAACAACAATGGCTGCCCCCTATTTGATTGCAGATTGTTGTGAACAACGCTGCCCTGTTCCATGGTCATCTATGATGATTCTGGATATGTGTGGTGGCCATAGGACCGCCAGCTAAGGGTGGGGAATGAATTGGCAGAATGGTTATCTCCTACTCCGTATGCTACTGTGGTTGTGCATCTGTTTTTGTGCGTGAAGAACCCGGGTGCTTCGAGCATAGAACTATCAAGCACAAATGGTCTTCAGTTCATGCAGTTCAAGCACAATCGAGTGCCAGATCCAACGGATGAGCCTCTCATTTGCCTTCAAGATGAACAATTGCAGTCTTGGTATTCTCTGGATCGCGCAACACTCTTTTCTCGAGAAAACACAAAGGGCGATTGTGTTTCTTTGCATTTAAAAGGTAGGAGTTCAGTTACAAGTGTCCGAGGACGCACTGATTACATCAAGATCAGTGCACATCCAAGGTTTGTGGTAACACTATCCTAAGGCTAGTCGCCCTGGCTTGTGCCCAAGAGTGAGCCTCGTCCTTGAACCTATCGACTAGCGTATGAACGGAGGGTCTTTCGTTGTCGAAGAAGCAGCTATTTCTATGCCTACAGATCATCCAAGGCACAAGCAGCGTGACGGATTTCAGAGCCTTGTGAAGGATCGGCGGCGTGTTCCCCTTGGCGTGCAGCCACCGGTCCATAAGAGTAGGCTCCTGGTTGGGTGTTGGGGCCAAGATGCGCAACCAGGCTAGGACCTCGTGCCAGGCCTGCCGGGCGAGGGGGCAATCCAGCAGCCGGTGGTGCTTGGTCGCAAAGTAAGCAGCGCGGGTGGTGTTGCAGGCCGTGGCGAGCCAGCCGTTCAGTGGTCCAACAACGGTCCTGGTTGGCTAACCAGTGGAAGAACTTGACCCGTGGCTGCGGCACGCAGCTCTTCCAAACTAACTTCCAAGGGTAGCAGGTCATCGATCCGTGGAACATTGCCGTATAGCATGACTGCGCCGAGTAGGTGCCACTCGCGGACCACTTCCATATCAGCCGGTCAGGGGCGTCGGAGAGCTCGATGCTCTGCATGATCTGCCATAATTTCAAGTACTGCATGATCTCGTGGATGCAAGGGTGCCGTGGATGTCACGGACCCAGGTGTTGCCATTGAGCCCCTCTACCACCGTTCTTGTCTTGCGTCGTCGCTTGGGGATGCAGCCAGATAGCTTGGGGAGGAGCTCGCAGACTGACTGCCCGGCGTTCCAACGATCCTCCCAGAACAAGGCGATTAGACCATTCCCAATGGCCCTGGTAGTGGAAGCCAAGAAAAGCGCTAGTTCCTCCTCCGAAAACTGTAGATCGAGTCCCTGTCCCGCTCGTTCGGGATCCGTTCTGGAGAACCACAACCAGCGGAGCCGTAGCGCAAGTCCGGCGCGCTCTAGGTCGCTAACACCGAGGCGGTTGTCGTGGGAACGATTCCGACAATAGTAAGGGGTAGGGTAAAGGAGCGTGATCAATCGACATGCATATGGGTGACCCGGTGTTTTAGCGAGTTCGAGCCTCTCGCGGTGGAGATAACAACCCTACGTCTCGTGCTCCGGAGAGGCTTTGCTTTATTTGATTATGAATCCGGAGATTACAATGTGTGAGAGAGGGGAGAACGGATCTTCATGCCTGAGCTAAGTCCTTGAGACTAATGGCGAGAGAGCCATGGGGAAGAATGAGTCCGCCTCAAGTCTAGTGGTGGTGGGGGGTGGCTTATATAGAGTGCGCCACCCCCTCACCTCTTATGTTACAAGATGGAGCGTCAATGCCATAATATCAGCCCACTACGAAACCGCCACGCTGACTATTGTGTTCATACGTTCGAGTGAGTTGATGGTCATCCGAGTGGACGGTATGTTGATTGTCCGAGTGATGCTGGCCTGAACGTCATCCAAGTAATGTTGACATACATATCATCTGAGTAGCTTCATGTATGGTATGAAATTGATCTGGACCCATCTGTCGTATGGGCCTCGTGCTTTATGATATTTTGACCCTTCTTGGGCCTACCTGTCATGTGTATCCCCAACATTAGCCCTCGAATCGGTTGAGATTTTGCAGAATGAGTTTGTGAAAGACACAATTTGGCCCCAGTGATTACGGAAATACTCGGTATCCGTCATCGTGCTTTCAAACAACCAAGGTTTGAACAAAATCTCAATGGATTCTGGCACTGCGCTTCCCGGCTGATCTGGGGTAAGTGGCCGCGAGGAGAAACTTGGTGACAGTCGTTCATCTCTTGAAAGAGGTTAACTCGTGATCAGAGTATGGGAGTGTCATTGAATCTGGGCAACAAGATTGACGCATGGAGTGCTCTCCTGAGAGATGCCATTCTTATCTCGGAGGAACGTCAATACGAGTCGGCTCTAGATCCAAACTTATGAGTTTCACACTTTGAGTCCTAGAAGAAGGCTCAAAATGGGTCCGCGTAGGAGCGTCAAACTCACCTTATAGCATTTTTTTTGAGTGATCTTGATCTGGTCCTGCCCCGAGTAACTGATTACTTGGAATTTTGTTCTAAGGGTGCGCGATCAGAGTAACTGATTACTCAGAATTTTGTACCCATAGGGTTGTAGCCCCCGAGACTCCGACTGATTGCTAGTAGTCTGTTGGAGTCTGTAGGGTTTGGGCATTGGCGAGCATTCCAACAGAAGTGGGGAGTGATCCAACACGACGGACGCGAATCATTGGAGGTGGCACTCGCCGTGTGCATCGCCTCAGTCTGAGGTGCATAGCACGCGGTCGAGATGCATCAACGCCGGCGGTGACTGCTCGTTTGACCATGTGTAGTGTCGGCCGGTGAGGTAGATCTCCTTGAGCGCTAGATCGTTACTTAGACGGCGAAACTTGCCCATCATGCGCTGGTTGAGGTTGTCCGTGTTCTTGTCCTCGTCGCGGAGGATGAGGTTTAAACCATCACATAACATCCAAGGCCTTGGGGCAGTCAGCCCTGACATCGCGGAGCTCCTGTAAGAAAGCCATCTTGCTGGCGTCGTCTTGTGGCCCGTAGACCATCGTTAGCCACCAGGGCGTGCCCGCGACTGTGGAGATCTTAGCAGTGAGCGTGTTAGTGGTGAACAATGGGTTCGTGACTGTCACGTCCCTGCTCTTCCATGCAAGATGCCACCCCGCATGCCTTGTGCCGGAAGATACGTGTAGTCATCGAATTCTGCACCAAGCGTGTCGAGGACAACCGACGAACAGATCAATGCCATTTTCGTTTCTTGCAAGCAAACAATTGAGGTCCCTTAGGTGTCTAGCAACGCTCTAATGGCATGGCACCGCGCCCATGCATTGAGGCCGCACACGTTCCATATCGCTATTTTATGGCCGTGATCCATCGAGACGGGATCGACTGCGACCTAAGTCTCGCACGCGACTCTACACGCGCCACGGTGGTCACCAGCGACACCATGCATGCTGGGATCTCTCGATCAACCAATGCGGCAATGGCCGTGAGGACGGTTAGCGGTATAGGTGCGGCAAACCCGACATCCTAGGCCTTCATCTCTGCCGCGGTTGGTGATTTCCTGGTTGGTTCCAAGGATTCCAAGCGTCTGAAGAATCTGCCTGTGCGAGCCTCTCGGTGGTGGGCGGTGCGGATGCGGATGTGGGGGCAGTGGCGCTGATCTTCCTTGTCGAGGGGTGTAGTTGACGGGGCGACGCGACGTCTTCCCAGGTGCCAACAGAGAAGCATTGAGATTCTTGGTGGCAGCAACCAAGAATTCCCCAACATCCACGATTGTGGGGCGGCACGTCCTCGATATCGCCGTAACATGATTAGGGGCGAGGCGAAGCGATTGGCCGACGAACCGCGTGGGCTTGGGGCAGTTATGACCATGGTTGTTGGCGTTGGTGGGGAGGGCAGTGCCGCATGCCTCTGTAGGATGACGACTTGGCCCCGCATGGCAGGGGCGTCGCTTGCGAGCCGGCTAGCTCATGGGCATGAGAAGCGGCGCCAAAGTCTCGCGCTCCCTGTCCAATGGGCACGCTCGTGGGCGTACTCGTGGACTGGTCAGTGCTGGAGGCCAACCCCACATTGGGGTGTGGTGTGGGGGGATCACCACTTTTTCCCGATAGAGCAGCAGGCCTTGTTGGTTCGCCGTGCTGCGAGTCTGGCACATTGCTCAGCGTGGATAGGTCCTGATTGGCCGAAGGGGCAGTTGTGCCATAGGGTGACCCCAGTGGATTGTCGTTGGGGTCGTGCGAAGCCGCCTGATTTGAATCCAGACGGTTCTGGGGTGGTCGCAGCCACAGAGTGGTCGACACCTGAAAGGATCGAGAAGAGGGGTCTAGACGGGGGGTGATTAGACCCTCAACAAGTACAAGTGGCAATTTTTAAGTTCTTCTGAGTTGAGGTGGAGTTTTAGCACAAGTTTAAGCATTTACAATACATTTCAAGCAAGCATGACAAGAGTATGAGTAGCGGAAAGAGTAAAGCATGCTAATTGCAAGAAAGTAAAGGGGATGGGATTGGAGTGAGCAAACGCAATGAAGACACGGAGATTTTTGGCATGGTTCCGATAGGTGGTGCTATCGTACATGCATGTTAATGGTGACTTCAACCCACGAAGGGTAACGGTTGCGCGAGTCCATGGAGGGCTCCACCCACGAAGGGTCCACGAAGAAGTAACCTTGTCTATCCCACCATGGCCATCGCCCATGAAGGATTGCCTCACTCGGGTAGATCTTCACAAAGTAGGTGATCTCCTTGCCCTTACAAACTTCTTGCTTCAACTCCACAATCTTGTCGGAAGCTCCCAAGCGACA